TCGGGGCCTTGTAGTTCCAGCATACTTCTGGAGCTGAGGCAGGAGAATGGCGTAAACACTCGGGAGGCGGAGCTTTGCAAGTGAAGCTGAGATGCACGCCACTGCACTTCCAGCCGGCGACAGAGCCAAGACTCCGTCTCAAGAAAAAAAAAAAAAAAAAAAAAAAAAAAAGAAATACTAAAAAAGAGAAAGATTAATTGATGTTTATAGAAAGAAAAACATGAGTGCTCTCAGAAATGCTCAAAAGCAGGAAAAAAGGTTAAAGTTACACCATAGAATTGCACAAGTCAACTACAGTGTGCCTCATGTCTGTAATTTCCACTTTTGGGAGGCTGAGGCGAGTGGATCACCTGAGGATCCAGCATTTCGAGACCAAGCCCTGACGTACATGGTGAGAAACCCCATCCTCTACTAAAAATACAAAAATTAGTTGGGCATGGCTGCGTTCACTCCTGTAGTCCCAGCTCACTTAGGAGGGGCTTGAGCAGAGAATTGCTTGGAACACTGGATGGCGAGGTTGTCAGTGAGCCGAGATGGCAACCATTGCACTCCTTCCAGTCTGGGCAACAGAGGGAGACTCTGTCTCAAAAAAAAAAAAAAAAAAAAGAAGAAGTTGTACAAGTCCTCAAAAGGACAGAGGTCATCTTATCACCCAGGGGGTGTTGTCATCAAGATGAACAGGAATTTGTGGTAAAAGAACCCCTAGCTCAGTGGGTATGCTTGGCAGGTATAGGGGAGAGTGGGGGCTCAGCCCTGAGCAGGAAATGTATTTTTTCATGAACTACGGAGTCTGAGATACTGAGATTTGGAAGAGGGATCCCTTAACCCCTCGTCCCTGGCCAAATCAAGTCCTGTCTCTGAGCCTCAGTTTACACTGAGTCTAGCTCTCATGTTCTGAATAGTGTTCTAGGCACTTCATGTCATTATCTCATAGAATTCTCAGAACTCTGAGTCAATCATCAATATTACCATGTTCCCGAGTAAGGAACTGAGGTTCCGAGAGGCAAAGCTTGATCAGATCAGTTAGACTCCAAAGCCTTTCTAGGAACCTCAGCTATCTTCCTCTCTCATCTGTAAAATGTGCATAATAAATTGGCCAGGTGCAGTAGCTCATGCCTGTAATTCCAGCACTTTGGGAAGCTGATTGGGGAGGATTGCTTGAGCCCAGGAGTTTGAGACCAGCCTGAGCAATATGGTGAGACCTCCTATCTCTACAAAAAATAAAAAAGTTAGCCAGGTGCGGTGGCATGCACCTGTAGTCCCATCTACATGGGAGGCTGAGGTAGGAGGATGACTTGAGCTCAGGAATTTGAGGTTGCAGTGGGCCATGATCATGCCATTGCATTTCAGCCTGGGTGACAAAGCAAGACCCTGTCTTTAAAAAAAAAAAAGAAAAGAAAAGAAAAAAAGGAAAGAGAGAAAGAAAGAAAGAAAAGGGAAATGAGTTGGGCCTAAGCACTGTTCTCTCCCCATCCGCAGCTGGACAATGCAGGAATTCAGGAGTAGGGAGTGGCACTTGGGGATCCTTGGAGGTGGAGTGGGGTCCCAAGCACCATACCTCCACTGGCTGCCCCCAGTCCAGCCCCATCCCCAATTCCTGCGAGTTGCTCCCTCTGCCACCCGCACCAAATTTCTTCCCAAGGAAGGCCTTGTGCAAGTCAACCTTTGGCCGCCTGCCTACTGTCCTAGTTGCGGGCTCTGTCCCCCACCTCCCCTAACCTGGCCCCTAGCCATCAAACCCTGGAGCCCGACCAGTCACGTGATATATCGGTCCTTTTTGGCCTGTTTCCTTTAGGATCCCGATTTAACTTCCTCCTGCCCACTTCCCTCTGCCCCCAATACCTCTGGGCACCACCATGCGCTCTGAGGAGCAAGTGTCGGGCTGAAGCCTGGGCTCCAGCTTGCAGAGGAACCTGGGCCTCAGTCTTCCCACCTGTCAAGTGGGGCCCCCACCCTACACCGCCTTCACTCTCTTCATTGCCTAGTCTTGCCCGGTCTTTTCCCACTCCCTCACTCCCCCGTACCCCACCAGACTCCCATGCAGTTCTGAGGACCTGTTTCCCTCAGGGCACAGGAGGATTGGGAGAGGCGAAGGACGACAGAGCCCTAAGGGAGGTCGCAAAACTGGTCTGAAAGAGAACCCACCAGGCCACAGGGTGAGTTTGGCCGGTCTCTAGCTTCAGACAGACGGGGTTCAAATCCTCCTTTGCTTCCGACCACCTGCTGATTTGAAAAATCATCTCTCTGGGCCTCAGTTGTCCCCTCTGTGAAATGTAGCCCCGCTTAAGACCAAGGGCGGGAAGCGTCTAGCAGGAGATCTCCGACCAGAACTAGAGAGCTGGCCTCCACCCGTCCCCTTCCCAGCCTTAGAGCGGCGCCTCGCCTCCCAATCCCGGGTCCCTCCGCCGCAGACTCCTCCTCCACTGACATCAGAGCCGCAGGCGGGCGGAGAGAGCCGCCGAGCCCAGCCGAGCCGAGCCCCAGCCCCAGCGAGAGAGCGGGCGGGTGGCCCAGGCGCGCAGCGGTGAGGACCGCGGCCAGAGCTCGGCGCCAACTACCGCGGGCCTCCCAGCCAGCCCCGCGGCGGGGCAGCCGCAGGTACAGCCGGCCCACCCACCCCTGCACACCTGGGCGCTGCGGGGGGGCGGTAGGAGCCCCTAGCCTCTGGGTATCCTTTCCCAAGGAGTGGCCACTGGGCACCCTCCCGGGCGGGCTGGACCCTGAAGGGCAGGCAGGGCTGGGCCTTTCTCCTCCACCTCTGCCCCAGGCCCAGCAGGTGCCAGGCAGGCCTATGGGACACTGATTGGGTAATAGAGAAGGGGACCTATATGAGCGCCTTCAGCTGGGCCTGACTGTGGAAGGGCGTGGGCATTTGGAGGTATCCATGGGGGTGGGGGGGCTTGTGGAGTGTACAGCCTTAGGACAGGCATGTGGGTCAGACATGGGTGGAGGATCTGGGAATCTGTGTGTTTTTTGTTCCAGAGGGGTGTCCACGTGTTTTGTGTGCTGGTATTTGGCTCTCAGGGTCTTAAGTCAGAGTTAGGAGGGGGTGTACAATTGTGTACTGAGGATGTTTGGAGTTAGGTGTGTAAGGAGTTGGGGTTTGGTTTGGAATATAGGAGCTTCAGGGGATGGGATAGAGGAGCTGGAGGGTGTAGGGTACGTCTGGTATATGAGGGTGTGTGTGTGTCTAGGTGTCATCTTGTGTGGGTGTGGGTGGATGTGTGTTTTGGGGTGTAAGAGGGAGCTGGGTGAGAGATGTTTGGATGGACAGGCAGGTGCCCGGGTGTAGGGCTGTCTGGGGCACTGTGTGGTGTGGACATGTGTGCTGATGTCTGGGAGTACATGTATGATCAGGTGTCCCAGGATCCGGATACGAGGCATACTGGATCTGGGAGGCAGGTGTTTTTGAGTCCAGGGCTGTGGAGTTGGCTTGGTGTGGCGTGTCTGCTACAGGGATGTGTGTGGATCTCTGACAGTTGTATTTGGTAGGCCTCCATGTGGGTTTCAGACTTTGCCTCTAGAGCTCAAGTCGCCTTTCCTAGAAGATTCTGCCCCTGGGATGGGTGGGCAGGGTCCCCTGGGAAAAAGGATCTGTTCCAGGAGTGGAATCTCACGTCAGAGGCCCTAGTCAGGGCACCTCTTCTCATTCTCCCTTAGAGAAAAAGAGAGAAGGAAAGTCCTCTCCCTGAGGTCACAAAGCATGCTAGGCTCTATTTTGGCCTCATCCTCTGTGGATGGGTTGGGAGGCTGTGTTTTTTGAATGGGGTCCATTCTGGCTTCATATTGGAAGTACCAGCCAAGGCCATTCCATGGGCTTTGCCCTCAGCAAGCTTAGCTGGGGGTCCCAGGCCAGGTGTCATTTGGGCCTCTGGAGCCAGCCTCTACCTAACTCCAACCTCAGTCTCCCCATTCTTCATCTGATAAATGGGAGAGAACTCCCACCCTCTCCTGCTGGATGAGACAGACCTCAGCAGGGGAAGGGCCAGGCTGGATAGGGTTAGATGGGGCCAGGAAGGGACAGAGTGAGTAGGACCATTTCTCAGGCTCCTAGGACCCAGATGGGGAGTCAGGAGGGAGAGGTCTGGGGAGCTCCAGCTGTGGCTGTTGTTGCTGTGGGAACAGTGCAGAAAGAGCTATTTAAAAACGTGGCTGAGATATTGCTGGAAGCCCAGGCTGCGGGCCGGTTGGGGGGGGGGTGGGGAGGAGGAGGGAGAGGAGACACCCCAGCAATCCCCAGGGTGGGGTGGGGACATCACTAGTTCTAGGGACAGGGGGATCCTCCAGGCTTCTACCAGCTGCTCTGGTGGTTTATCTGTTGTACTGCCAGAGGTCAGGGTTTCCCTGGGTGCTTGGATTTGGAGAGGGGGAAAACTGGGAAGTGAACTAGAATAAATGAATGAATGAATGAATGCAAGACTTTGTTAAATAAAGAATTTTGCTGCCACTGTGAAAGGTTTTTCTCTAGGCACGAGAATTTGCCGAATGTTGAATAAACAAATGAATGTTTGTTGAATGATTTTGTCAAATGGATGAATCAAGGATGAATAAATGCAGGTTGAATGACTGAATGAGGCCTGTAGCAAATTCCCAGACAGAAGGCTGGGCTCTGCTGAGTCTCCTCCTTCCATTCTCCTTGCAGGAGCCCTGGCTGTGGCCGGGGGGCAGTGGGCCATGCCGGGGGCAGTTGAAGGCCCCAGGTGGAAGCAGGCAGAGGACATTAGGGACATTTACGACTTCCGAGATGTTCTGGGCACGTGAGTCCAGGGCAGGATTGGGTGCTGGATGGCTGGGGGAGGCTGAGTCCAGGGTGGTGCTTCTTCTGGTCAATTAATGCTTCCTGTTTCCCATAGCCCAGGCCCTGTGGCAGCACTATCTAGGGCCTAAACTGTCCCCAGCTTTTCACTTCTGGGTGGGACAGAGGCTGCTCTTCCAATAGCCCTGGGTTCTTGAAGAGAAAGAAGTTGGGAGAATGAAGGTGCCAGTCAGTCCATCTAACTTGCTGCCAAGAGCTAGGTGTTCTGGCCTAGGTTTGGGAACTGAGGCTGGGGATGGCTCTGTTCTTGGTGCTGGGAATGCAGAAATAACTCAAACCTGGTCTCTGTCCTTCAAGTTGATCCCAGACATGTGCAAGAGACAGACCCACAGAAAATGACAACAGGGTGTGTGCTGTGCTCCAATTAAGGTTGGGATTGAAGGCTTTGTGGAGCCCAGAAAGAGCTGTGCCTTCTGCCTGGGGGGAAACTTCGTGGAGAATGGGGCATTAGAGCTGGGGACTGAAGGATGGGTAGGTGTGCACTTGTGAGAGAGGAAGAAGGGCATTCCAGGCAGAAGGAATCCTATAAACAAAGGTTTAGAGGCATGGTTCTATGTGGAAAGAGGCAGAGTGTGGTGGAGCTTAAAATCAGAGGCTGGGGAAGAGTGGGAAAAAAGGCTGGAGATGAAAGTGGAACAGTTTGTGTAGGGTCTTGGAAGGCAGGTCAGGGAGGCTAGATATTGTTCCATAGGCCACCGGGAGACACTTAAGACTTTGGCAGGTGTGCAATGCAGGACAGTCACTCTGGCCACAGCTTGGAGGGTAAACTGGAGAGGGACAGGACTGGAAACCAGTGATGAGGTTACTACAGTAACTATCCCTGAGGATTGAAATTTCACCATGGGAGATGCCTTTCTTTGACTTACGACTTCTTATTCTCCCAGAGAAAGCAAACAGATGTGCAAACAATACCCTAGTAAATCCTCCTTAATCAGTTAACTTTAGTTAAATGAGTTTATTTGTTCCTTTTTAAGAGCTTGTTCTAAAGCACTGCTTCTTAAAGTTCAATGAGCATACAAATCACCTGAGATTTTGTTAAACTGCAGATTCTGATTTAGTAAATCTGGGGCAGGGCCTAAAGTTTTGCATTTCATTTTTTTTTTTTTTTTTTGACCTAGGATCCAAAGCAGTAGAGATTTTGCATTTCTAAAAAAGTTCCCAGGTGATGCTGATGGTTCTTTAAGGTGTTAAATTAGCCATGACTCAAATTAGCAGAAAAAGGGATGAACCAACTGCACACAAAATCAAAAAGCTCAGAGGTAGACTTCAGGCATGGCTGGATCCAGAGGGCCACATAATGTTATCATGAAATGACTTTGGCCATTTCTCAGGTTGGACTTCCTTTGTGTTAATTTCATTCCCAAGCAGGCTGTCCCCAAGTGGTGACAAAGATGATCGTCATTAGCTCCAGGCTTACATCCTACCAGCTCAGCAGCAGCCTCATTCTTAAAGTGCTAGGAATCTGGCTTGCATCACATGACCAATTACTGTGACCAGGGGAGAGACTACTTTGGCCAGGCCTGGGTCATGTGACCATCTCTGGAGCCAGGGGATAGATGAGTGACTAGGAGAGGGTCATCCACATCCCTGGTCCAGCAGTGGTCACAGAACCCATAGGGAATGGAGGAGAGGCTGGAGGGAAGCTGGGGTTCCAGTTCTTCACCTTATGAATCCCCTCTCCCCATAGGGGGGCCTTCTCGGAGGTGATCCTGGCAGAAGATAAAAGGACGCAGAAGCTGGTGGCCATCAAATGCATTGCCAAGAAGGCCCTGGAGGGCAAGGAAGGCAGCATGGAGAATGAGATTGCTGTCCTGCACAAGTGCGTGGGCCACAGCCTTTCCCTGCCCCAAGCTGACCCTGCATTGGCCCTCCCATCCTCCTCCTTCCCTGCTTTGGACCAAACATTTAAACTCTCTAAGCCTTAAATTGCTCATTCATAAAATGGGGATCACAATTTCCACTTGGCAGGGTTGTGGGGGAACATCAGAAGTCCTTTATTTCAAGTGCCTGGCACAACAGCTAACACAACAGATGTGATGGAGATGCCAGGGCTTAGTAACAGGGGTTTAACTGTTCAATCAGGTGTAAAGATCCATCCTGAACATGACTTGGACCCACATATCTCAGTTGGTGTTGTCTCTGGACCTACCTCAAGTTCCCCTAACATATTAAAGCCACTCAGCAAGTTTAAAAATGACTCTCTGCTGACCCCCTGACTAAATCCACAACCAGCTGGTCTATGAATTGCTCATGCTGGTATGAAACCTCCTGTCCTCACTGGAAAACTTGCAGAGAATCACTGCTAATCTCTCCCCTGAGCTTCCAACCACCCTGGGCAGATAATGGTTTTTTTTTTGAGATGGAGTCTCACTCTGTTGCCCCAGCTGGAATGCAGTGACAAAATCTTGGCTCACTGCAATCTCTGCCTCTTGGGTTCAAGCTATTGTCTTGCCTCAGCCTCCCTAGTAGCTGGGATTACAGGCACCTGCCACCACGCCCGGCCAATTTTTGTATTTTTAGTAGAGATGGGGTTTCGCTATGTTGGTCAGGCTGGTCTCGAACTCCTGACCTCAGGTGATCCACCTGCCTCAGCCTCCCAAAGTGCTAGGCATGAGCCACTGCACCCAACTCCTGGGCAGAGCATTTCTACTGAGACCCAGAGAAGACAAGGGATTTGTATACGGTCACATGGAAAGTTTGTAGCAGAGCTAAACTTACTTCATCATCAAGATCAATTATCGTCTGACCAACAAGGAGAAACCCTGTCTCTACTAAAAATACAAAATCAGCTGGGCGTGGTGGCACATGCCTGTAATCCCAGCTACTTGGGAGGCTGAGGCAGCAGAATTGCTTAAATATAAGAGGTGGAGGTTGCGGTGAGCCGAGATCACGCCACTCATTGCACTTCTGCCTGGACAACAAGAGCAAACCTCTGGCTCAAAAAAAAAAAAGGCCAGGTGCGGTGGCTCACGCCTGTAATCCCAGCACTTTGCGAGGCTGAAGCGGGTGGATTGCCTGAGGTGAGGAGTTCCAGATCAGCCTGACCAACATGGAGAAACTACGTCTCTACTAAAAATACAAAATTAGCCAGGCATGGTGGTGCATGCCTGTAATCCCAGCTACTTGAGAGGCTAAGAAAGAAGAATCCCTTGAACCCAGGAGGCAGAAGTTGTGATGAGCCAAGATCATGCCGTTGCACTCCAGCCTGGGCAACACTCCAGCTGGGCTACAAGAGTAAAACTCCGTCTCAAAAACAAAAAACAAAAAACAAAAGAAAAAAATCAATTACCATTACTGTTTCACTTACGAGTTTTTTGTTTTTTGTTTTTTTTTTTGAGACAGTCTTGTTCTGTCACCCAGGCTGGAGTGCAGTGGCGTAATCTCTGCTCACTGCAAGCTCCGCCTCCCGGGTTCACACCATTCTCCTGCCTCAGCTTCCCGAGTAGCTGGGAGTACAGGCGCCCACCACTATGCCCGGCTAATATTTTTGTATTTTTAGTAGAGACGGGGTTTCACTGTGTTCACTAGGATAGTCTTGATCTCCTGACCTCGTGATCCGCCTGCCTCAGCCTCCCAAAGTGCCAGGATTACAGGCGTGAGCCACTGCGCCCGGCCCACTTATGAGTATTTACTGTGTGCCACGCGCTGTGCCAAGCATCTACTTGCATGATCTCACATGATCCTCACTCCAACTCTTTGAGGGAAGTACTACCATTGGCTTTATTTTATAGATGAAGAAACTGAGGCTCAGAGAGGTTACATTAAATCTAGCACCTACCCTGTACCAGGTGCTGGAGAACAGTGGCATGCAAGACAAAGCCTCTGGATTCGGGGAGCGTATGTCTGGTAGGGGAGGCTGACAAACATGTAAACACAGAAAGTTATTTTATTTTTCATTGTTTTGAGATGGAGTTTTGGTCTTGTTGCCCAGGCTGGAGTGCAATGGCATGATCTCGGCTCACCGCAACCTCAGTTTCCCAGGTTTAAGCAATTCTGCCTCAGCCTCACAAGTAGCTAGGATTACAGGCACGTGCCACCGTGCCCAGCTAATTTTTGTATTTTTAGTAGAGATGGGGTTTCACCATGTTGGCCAGGCTGGTCTCAAACTCCTGACCTCAAGTGATCCACCTGCCTCAGCCACGCAAAGTGCTGGGATTACAGGTGTGGGCCTCCGTGCCCAGTCAGAAAACTCTTAACAGGCATGTATCAGGCTGGGTGCAGTGGCTCACTGGTAAAAAGATCAGCATCCATATAGCATGTGACAGGGACAGGATTTGGACGCAGGTCTGTGTATGCCAGAGCCCAGTGTTTATCCCTCTGCTCTCTCACCTTCCAAGAAATAGTAATAAACCATGGTAAGCCAGCTTTTCCCTTTGGGGCCTACATCCTTGGTTTGTCCTACCCAGGTTTGCAGGCACTTGGTCAGGGGTAGCTGTCCTGAGCTCTAAACCACTGCTTTTTTTTTTTTTTCTTTTGAGACAGGGTGTTACTCTGTTGTCTAGGCTGGAGTGCAGTGGCTATTCACAGGTGCAATCATAACAGACTGCAGCTTCGAACTGCTGGGGCCAAGTGATCCTCCTGCCTCAGCCTCCCAAGTTTAAGTAGCCTGGACTACAGGTGCACACCGCCATGCCTGGCTAAACCACCTCATTTCTCCTTTCAGGATCAAGCACCCCAACATTGTAGCCCTGGATGACATCTATGAGAGTGGGGGCCATCTCTACCTCATCATGCAGCTGTGAGTGGCCCCACCTCTGCCCACCCCCACACACCTCTCCCTGCTGTCCCAACCCTCTTTGCCAGACTGCCCTATCCCCTGCTGCAGGGTGTCGGGTGGGGAGCTCTTTGACCGTATTGTGGAAAAAGGCTTCTACACGGAGCGGGACGCCAGCCGCCTCATCTTCCAGGTGCTGGATGCTGTGAAATACCTACATGACCTGGGCATTGTACACCGGGATCTCAAGGTGGGGCTCGAGGGGGTGTGGTGAGCTGGGGTACCCAAGGGTGGGGCCTTTGCAAACCCCAAACTGTCCGACCTTGGGCAACTTTCACCCCCTCACTGAGCCTTGGATTTCCATCTACAAAGTGGATCTTGTAACCCTTAAACTGCCTCCTCCTATTCTAGTCCAGATACTCAAAAGAACACGAGTGAATTGTGCTGGCATTTTATCCAAATAACATTTTATGTATTTTTCTGATTAAAAAAAAAAAATCTGACCAGGCATGGTGGCTCACGCCTGTAATCCCAGCACTTCAGGAGGCAGAGACGGGCGGATCACCTGAGGTCAGGAGTTTGAGACCAGCCTGGCAAAACCCTGTCTCTGCCAAAAATACAAAAATTAGCCCGGCGTGGTGGCGGGTGCCATCCCAGCTACTAGGGAGGCTGAGGCAGGAGAATCACTTGAACCCAGGAGGTGGAGGTTGCATAAACTGAGACTGTGCCATTGCACTCCAGCCTGGGCGACAGAGCGAGACTCCATCTCAAAAAATAAAAAAAATTAAAAAAAAAAAAAACCAAAAATCCTATTCCCCTTTTGTAGAAAACTTGGATGGGACAGCAAAACATAAAGAAAAAAGCCAGAAATCCCTGAAATCCTGTTCCTCAGAAATAGCGATGGGGCTCACATTTAGCAGTACATCTCAATCTGGTCTAAGAGAAGGGCACATGCCTGGCTTTGAATTCTGGCCCTGCTACTCCCTAACTGTGGGTTCTTGGGTGAGTCACTTTGCCTCCAAAGGCATCAGTTTCCTCATCTGTTAGGTGGGATTATTCAGACTGGCCTAGCAGGGATGCAGTGAGGATGACGTGAAATCAAGCACTAATCCAGGGTTTGGCATAAAGTAGGTATTCAAACATTTCTTTAGGGCTTTACAGTGCACACCTGAGGTTTACAGAAAGTTGCCTCCCACACCCTCTTGGGCCTTGTCCTTCCTGGAATTTTTGGCCTTCTTGAGAACTTTCTTGATTTTCTTATGGCAGCCATGAAGCCACAGTGGCTTTTGGGGGATCCATTATTTCTCAGAAGGTGCTTGGAGAGGCAGAAGGTTCTACTAGCCTCTAACCATCTCTGATTGCCCCTTCCCTTCCCTCCTGCCCTTCAAGCCAGAGAATCTGCTATACTACAGCCTGGATGAAGACTCCAAAATAATGATCTCCGACTTTGGCCTCTCCAAGATGGAGGACCCGGGCAGTGTGCTCTCCACCGCCTGCGGAACTCCGGGATACGTGGGTGCGGAGGGCCCTGGGCTGGGGCTGTGATGGTGGGGGGAACCAGGAGCTGAAGGGCAGAGATTTGTCACCACCATGTCCTCTTCCCTCCACAGCCCCTGAGGTCCTGGCCCAAAAGCCCTACAGCAAGGCTGTGGATTGCTGGTCCATAGGTGTCATCGCCTACATCCTGTAAGTGGGGCTTGGCCATGGTAGGCTATGGCTCCAGAGTTTGTCCTCTGGCCTGCTTTCCTCTCTTCCTCCCTCTGCTTCCCTTCCCTTCTTCTCTTCCCTTCTTCCCTTCCTTCCACCAATCAATTATGAATATTACTTCATTCAATAGATACTATGTTTCAAGCACTGTGCCAAGCAAGCACTGGAGTAAATTTAGCACAGAACAAACCAGACAAAGTGCCTGCCCTCAGGGAGCTGACTTTCTTTCTAGTAGAGAAGACAATCAACAAGTAAATAAATCTACAAAATAACATCAGGTGATAAAAATACATACTGTGGAGAAAAACCAAGGAGGAATAGGGAGACAGGGGTGATGCCATTTCAGTAGGGAGGTCAGGGAAGGGCTCGCTGTGGAGGGGATGTCCAAGTGCTAAGGGAGCCAGACATTGGAGGTGTGAGGAAAGAGTAGCATAGGCAGAGGCAATGGCAAGTGCAAAGGCCCTGAGGAGGGCAAGATGGCAGTACATTCAAGGAACAGAAAGGACAACATAGCTAGAATGGGAGTGAGCAGACAGGGCTGGTAGAGTTTATAAAGGGGGAACTCCTTCCGTGGGTCCTGCCTGACCCCTGAGACTACCCCAGTGCTCCACCCCGGAGTCAATGGGTGCACCTGAAAGTGGAAATGAGGATAAGTTTCTCCCTGCCCAGGCTCTGCGGTTATCCCCCCTTCTATGATGAGAATGATGCCAAACTCTTTGAACAGATTTTGAAGGCCGAGTACGAGTTTGACTCTCCTTACTGGGACGACATCTCTGACTCCGGTATTTGGGGCTTTGCCTTTTTCCCCTGGGCCCCGCCTCTGGTCCCTCCCTCACCTGCTTTGGGGGCGGTCTCCCTCCTGCCTTCCTTCTGTCGGATTCTCCAGTGCCACACTAAGCTGTCTTCAAGACCAGACACCCTACCCTGGGTACTTCCTTCTGCTTGGCTCCCAGAGTGAGAAACTAGGCATTTGTTCAATCTTCAAACACAGTCTATTTGAAAATACCTCTTCCCTATTGACTTCCTGATGTCTAAAATACCACCATAAACATTTTCATCCTCCTTTTGTGCCCCCTATTAAGAAGCAAACCTGTGAAGCTACTATCATTTATCAGTGTGAATGCACTGAAATTAGTCAAGAACAACTTTTTCTTTTTTTTTTTGAGATGCAGTCTCGCTTTGTTGCCCAGGCTGGAGTGCAGTGGCACAATCTCGGCTCACTGCAACCTCTGCCTCCCAGGTTCAAGCAATTCTCTGCCTCAGCCTCCCAAGTAGCTGGGATTACAGGCACCCACCACCACGCCTGGCTAATTTTTTTGTATTTTTAGTAGAAACGAGGTTTCACCATCTCAGCCAGGCTGGTCTTGAACTCCTGACCTCGTGATCCACCTGCCTCGGCCACCCAAAATGCTGGGATTACAGGCACGAGCCACTGTGCCCGGCCTCATGTTTTTCTTGAGAGAGACAGGAAAGAGCTGGAAGGCATGGGGTGGGAGGGTCTGAAGAAGAGCACAGGTTGGGTGGGGTGCGGCATGGACTGATTTGGCCTCTTTGTTTTGTTTTGATGCTGGGTCAGACCTAAGGGAGTGCATACGCTCTTGGGGAGTACACAGGCACTACCATGCTGTCATTATCTTTACTTTTGTCTTGGGGGTTTAGCCAAAGATTTCATCCGGCACTTGATGGAGAAGGACCCAGAGAAAAGATTCACCTGTGAGCAGGCCTTGCAGCACCCATGGTGAGAATTCACACAAGCTGTGAGGTGGGGTGGGATTTGGGGCCCTCAGGTCTGCCTCTGCCCTCATAGGCAACCCATCACATAACCCCATCCTAGGATTGCAGGAGATACGGCTCTAGATAAGAATATCCACCAGTCGGTGAGTGAGCAGATCAAGAAGAACTTTGCCAAGAGCAAGTGGAAGGTGAGTCCATATCCCTAGTTCTGGTCCCAGCCTCCCCAGGACTCCTCCCCATCCCTACCCAGGCTCAGCTCGCACAGCACCTAGCACCAAGTTGGGCACACAGTAACTTCTTAGGGATCCTTACTGAAGGACTTCATTCATTCATTCAACACTCCCAACACCTTCTCTATTCCAGAGAGGGTCCCTCACCTCCAAGTCTAGAGGGAGAAGTCTATAATTCTTCAGGAGTCATCTGATCCAGCCTATGGGGGTCCGGGAAAGGTCATAAAGGTGGTGATGACTTGACAGAGCTGTCAGTTAAGTAGGAATTAGCGAGGCATAGCAGAAAAATGTCTACAGCCATTCCGGGAAGTGCAAGTGCTAAGCCTGGCCAGACTGAAGGGGCTGAGGGGACTGAGAGGCAGGAGCCCAATTTGGGAAAGCAGGTAGGGGCCAGGCCTCTTAGGGCCTCGGATTCCACAGAGGAGCACCAACTTGATCCTGAGGGCACTGAGGAGGCCCAGAAGAATCTTAGGCAAGCATCTGCTACATAGAAAGGGCTCTCAGGGCCAGGCATGGTGGCTCACACCTGTAATCCCAGCACTCTGGGAGGCCGAGGTGGTCGGATCACCTGAGGTCAGGAGTTCAAGACCAGCCTGGCCAACATGGCAAAACCCTGTCTCTACTAAAAATACAAGAATTAGCCACACATGGTGGTGTGTGCCTGTAATCCCAGCTACTCGGGGCACTGAGGTAGGAGAATTACTTGAACCTCGGAGATGGGGATTGCAGTGAGCTGAGATCGTGCCACTGCACTCCAGCCTGGGTGACAAAGTGAGACTCCACCTCAAAAAAAATAAAGAGCTCTCAGGATGCAGAGAATGGCATGGAGTAAAGACTGGGTGACCCATTAGGAGGCTGTGGCAGAGATACAGGCAGGAGAGGGTAAGGGTTTGGACCACAGTAGTATCAACAGGGGTAGAGAACAGTGGTTGATCCAGGAGTCATTTAGGAGGTGAAACTAAGACATGATGATGCAATGAATGTTGGGGGAAAGAGATGTCAAGGGCTGGCCCAAGATTGTAGCTGGGAACAGAGTGGACGGCGGCGGTACCATGACTGAGATGGTGATCACAGGGACAGAAACATGTTTTGTGGGGATGGTTTTAGTTTTGGACATGGTGAATTTGAGGGGTGTGTGGGACACCTAGGTGGAGATGTTGAATAGATACACACCTAGGCAAGTTACTTCAGCTTTCTGTGCCTCTGTTTCCTCCTTTGAAAATTATATTAATAGTACCTACCTCAAAGACTTTCATGAAGATTAAATGAATTACTATGTAAAGTGCTTAGAGCAGTACCTGGCATACAGTGCTACAGTGTTTGCTATTACATATTAATATGAATTATAGAGTTATGTTTCTATTTATATATATATATACACATACATTTAACATACGTGCATGTGTGTGTGTGAATATATAATAAAGCCTTGTAGAGGTTTTTGGGGGCCTTTAGGGGAATCAATAAAATAACTCCTGAATGAAAATAACAGAACAATTGCAAGAATCCCACTGCACCTCCACCCCTGCCCCATGACTTGACTATCTCAAAAGTCCTTTCTCCCCTCTCCCTACAGCAAGCCTTCAATGCCACGGCTGTGGTGCGGCACATGAGGAAACTGCAGCTAGGCACCAGCCAGGAGGGGCAGGGGCAGACGGCGAGCCACGGGGAGCTGCTGACACCAGTGGCTGGGGGTGAGGAGCAGATTCTGCAGAAGGGCATGGGTGGTCCACAGAGAGGCACCTGGGCTGGAGTGGAGGGCCTGCCCCTCCAGCCAGCTCTGTTCTCTCTTCCCATGCAGGGCCGGCAACTGGCTGTTGCTGTCGAGACTGCTGCGTGGAGCCGGGCCCAGAACTGTCCCCTACACTGCCCCACCAGCTCTAGGGCCCTGGACCTCGGGTCAGGATCCCGTGTGGGAGGGCTTGGGGGCAGCCTGCTCCTCTTCCCTCCCTGAACTGGGAGTTTCTCTGCCCTGTCCCCTCCTCACCTGCTTCCCTACCACTCCTCACTGCATTTTCCATACAAATATTTCTATTTTATTGTTCCTTCTTGTAATAAAGGGAAGAAGATAAAACCATCCTTAGCGCTGTCTCCCCCAATAGCCCCCAGCCCACCTTGTTGTGCAAATTGACTGCTTGATTTGGGGGTGCCTGGCCTTTGAGGTGGTCACAGGGAGGCCCCTCCCCAACATGAGACTGGGTGGGGATGGGGAGAGAGAAGTGGGGAATGGAGGGGAAGGGGCTTGGGGGAATTCCTTTGTCCAGGGTGCCCCATCTAGACTTCCAGCCCTTTGGAACCCTTTCTGCGCTTTGCTGGTGGCTCCTGAGCACGGTGGGATTGGTGCAGGTCAGCACTGAACAGCACCTGTATGAGGGTGGAGTCGGTGTGGGGAGGAGGGTACATTGGGGTCAGGGCTGGTGGGACTAGTGACAGTGCTGGGAGGTGGAAGAGTCCTTGGGGAACAGGGCCGAAGGCAATGGGAGTCCACTGGGGTTGGGACGGGGTGGCTGGAGAGTCCTTTAGGGCCACCTGGGGCAGTGGTGGTGGAAGAGTCTGCTGGGTCAGGGCTGGAGGAGAAGTCCTATGGGGTCTGAGCTGGAGGAGAGGAAACCTAGTAGGTACACTCACCGCTTGGGCCCAGCCAGCATAAGGTCCCCACAGGCTCCGGAAAAAGTTTCCTAAATCAGAAGTGATGAGACTAAGTTATCTGACCCCTTCTGTGACCCATCAAGAGAGGTAGGGTATGAGGGAGAGATGACTAAGAGAGAGAGAGGTTTCCACCATACCAGCCCACTGCCAGCCCCTGCAGCCCACTTTCCTCACCCAGTTCCTTGTTGCTCTGGGGGCTTGGTCCCTTCGCCTGGGACGTGGTAGGGTGCCAGCTGTAGTCACGTTGGGCAATCTGCCATATATGGACATCCACGGGCACAGCCTGGGGCTTGTCTAGGGCCATCAGGCAGATGCAGTCAGCCACCTTTGACAGACACAGAGAATGAGCCCTTGTGGAAGAAGGGCAGCATCCGGCCAGCATCTTGCTTATAACCCCAAAGCCAGCTGCTTTCTCCTTCACTCTGGGGTTACTGTTGTTCTATATTCTCAATCAACAGATACTATCTATGAATGTGCTTTTTTTTTTGAGATGGAGTCTTGCTCTGTTGCCCAGGCTGGAGTGCACTGGTGGAATCTCGGCTCACGGCAACCTCCGCCTCCCAGGTTCAAGCAATTCTCCTACCTCAGCCTCCCAAGTACTGGGATTACAGGCATGCACCACCAAGTGTGGCTAATTTTTGTGTTTTTAGTAGAGATGGGGTTTCACCATGTTGGCCAGCCTGGTCTCGAACTCCTGACCTAAAGTGATCCGCCCACCTTGGCCTCCCAAAGTGCTGGGATTACAGGCATGAGCCACCATGCCCGGCCTATGAATACACTGAAATTGCTGTAGTAAGAGCTGCTACCAGGTTCTTATAACCTGGGAAGAAGGTATTACCACACCCATTTTGCAGACAAGAAAACTGAGGCTCTGAAAGGTGAAGTGACCTGGCCAAAGTCACATGGCTGGGGAACAGGCAGAAACAATATTTAATGTTAGGCTATAGTCCAAAGCCCATCAAAAAAAATAAGCAAAAATTCATTTTTTAAACTACAGAGAAGTATGAAGGAAAAAAAAGGCTGGGCGCGGTGGCTCACACCTGTAATCCCAGCACTTTGGGAGGTCGACGTGGGTGGATCACGAGGTCAGATCAAGACCATCCTGGTCCAACATAGTGAAACCCCATCTCTACTAAAAATACAAAAATTAGCTGGGTGTGGTGGCTCATGCCTGTAATCCCAGCTACTCGAGAGACTGACGCAGGAGAATCGCTTGAACCCAGGAGGTGGAGGCTGCAGTGAGCCGAGATTGTGCCATTGCACTTCAGCCTGGCGACAAAGCAAGACTGTCTCAAAAAAAAAAAAAAAAGACAGATGCCTAATTTCCAATCATCTTATTGCCAGTTAACCCTATTGACATCAAGGAAAAAGTTTTGTCAGTACATGTAATTTTATGAAAGGAACAAAATGTGGCTGGGAGCAGTGGCTCCTCCCTGTAATTCCAGCACTTTGGGAGGGCAAAGCAGGAACACTGCTAGAGGGCAAGAGTTTAAGACCAGCCTAGGCAACATTGTTAAGAGCCTGTTTCTACCAAAACAAACAAACAAAATAGGAAAAGGAGAAATATCTTCCCATTTGTCTCCCCCAAGGAAACCATTCAGTTTCCTGCAATTTCCTTCTGGAAATTGCTGCATATATATAGCAGCACATATGTGTTGCATGTGAACAAATGGTCTTTCTAGAAATTCATTCAAAGGGCTATATCCTTTCCACTCCTTCTGCACTCTGCTTTTTTCTCTCATAAAACATCTACTTATATCCTTTCTCCTTCCTGCTCTGCCTCCGGAAGCCAAGCCTCCACCCAGCTCCCAGGCTTGGCTCATTTCCTGCTCTCCTCTTAAGTGTCAGTGGAGAGGGTAGCTCCTACCCCCTGGGGCCTCACCTTGGTGCCCACTCCCGGCAGGGTACAGAGGGCCTTGTGGGCCTCCTCATAGGAGGCCTCTCGTAGCTGCTGCAGCCAGGGTAGCCCGCCCTGTTCTTCCAGGATGGCTCGGGCACTGGCACTCACGTAGCGGGCACGGTAGCCCAGGCCCAGCTTCCTGAGATGAGCCTCCACCTCTGGCCCTGTGGGGAGTGAGGAGGAGAGTAGGCATCAGGCATCTTCAAGTTCTTCCTGTCCTTGGGCTAGTAAGTGAGCTCTCCACCTCGGGACAAGAGTGCTTTTCCTAAGTACCCCTCCTACCTCCCCACCCTCTATAGGATAGTGGACACTTTTATGTGCAAGGGAAAGGGTTAAGGCCTGGATCCTGTCCCTCTATACATGTTTTCTGAGCACCTACTGTGAATTGGCCCCTGGAGCCCAAGTCTAGTCCAGGGACTGAGGACTTGCTGCCCTGGAGGAGCTCCCCAACCAAGTTCCTTAATCTTTCCAAAAGAGTGTTCATACTCATGATCTAAAAAAATAACCAAAATATAGCAAGAGCTTCTATGATTAAGTGCTAGGCATCAAGCACTGGCAACACGCTTCAGATATATTATCATGCTTACTTTTCCTAAGAACCCCACTGATAGCCGGGCGCGGTGGCTCACGCCTGTAATCCCAGCACTTTGGGAGGCCGAGGCGGGCGGATCACGAGGTCAGGAGATCGATGAACCAATCCCTGGCTAACACAGTGGAAAACCCCGTCCTCTATTAAAAAAAAAAAATACAAAACCTAGCCGGGCCGTTGGGTGGGCGGGGCCGCCTGTAGGTCCCAGCCCCTACTTCGGAAGGCTTGAGGCGGGAGACAATGGGCGGGGAACCCGGGGGAAGGCGGAAGCTTTGCAGTGGAGCCCGAGATCCGGGCCCCCCCCACTTGCACCTCTCCAGCCCTCTTGGGCCGACAGGAGCGAGGAACTCCCGTCTCCCAAAAAAAAAAAAAAAAAAAAAAAGAAACCCCACTTGGACAGTACTGGGCCTGTTTTCCCATTTTTTTACCAGGTGGAGAAAGATGAGGGGGCCGTTTAGAAGGAGGTAACTTACTAAAAGGAACCCATGGGGGAAAGAAATAAAGATCCTTGCAACCTAATCCCTGGGAACCACCAAAAGAACCCTGTGGTTTTTTTCCCCCTTTTTTTTTTTTTTTTTTTTTGACAAAGGGTCCTTGCTTTCTGCTCACCCCAGGCTGGAATTGCGTGGGGGCCAACATTCTAAATTCACTACGCCTCACCTCCTAGGGCTCAAGGCGATCCCCTCCCACCTTCAAAAGCCCTCCTTGAGTAAGCTTGAAGGAACCTACAGGCCTTGGTTTGGCCCAACTTATTGCCTGGGCTAATTTTGTTTATTTTTTGTAGAGATGAGGTCTCACTATGTTGCCCAGGCTGGTCTCAAACTCCTGGGCTCAAGCCATCCTCCCACCTTGGGCTCCCAAAGTGCTGAAATTATAGGCATGAACTACCACACTTGGCTAACGCCGTGCTTTTAACCCATTACATGACACTGCCTCATGATTGCTTTATTCACCCACAAAGTCCTTCTAGATAGAATCTGTTATTCCCATTCTACAAACAAGCTAAGAGAAGCCAGGAGAGGTGAATGACTTTCTTCAGGTCTGATGACTAAGCCAGGAGCTGAGACTCAAGAACACAGGGTCTTTTTTTTTTGTTTTTTTTTTTTTTGAGATGACTCGCTCTGTTGCCCAGGCCAGAGCAGTTTGTCGATCTCGGCTTACTGGAAAGCTTGCCTCCCGGTCACGCCCATTCTCCTGCCACCGATGCCCAGCTTTGTATTTGTTAAGTAAGAGATTGGTTCCACCGTGTGCCAGGATGGTCTTGATCTCCTAACCCGCAGCATGGCCGCTCCACTCGGCCTCCCAAACGCTGGGATTACAGTCGGTGGAGTCACTGGTTCGCCCAGGTTTCTTTTCTTTTTTTTTTCCTTTTCTTTGAGGGAGTCTCGCCCTGTTCCAAGCTGGGAGTGCAATGACCATATCTCGGCTCACTTGCAAACCTCTGCTTCCCAGGTTGCAAGTGCCGTTACCCGCCTCACAACCTCTGAAAGGCTGGGAAACAAGCCCGCCACCTAACGCCCAGCTAATCTTTTAGTAGAGGGTTTCACCCTGACCCTCAGGTGATTCACCGCCTCGGCCTACCAAAGTGCTGGGATTACTAGGTGTAGCCACACTGTGCCGGGCCCATGTTTCCTTTGTTTGTTTATGTGAAATCTCGCTCTGTCACCAGGCCCGGGAGGCACGTGGCGGTGATCTGGTTCCACCTAGAGCCTCTGCTGCCAGGGTTCAAGCAATTCCCCGCCTTACCCCCCAGGTAGCGGATACAGGTTCCTGCCATCATGGCCCAGCAATTTGTATTTTTAGTAATGGCGTTTCACACATGGTGGCGCTGGGCTTGGTTGAACTCCTAATCTCAGAAGTCTGCCCTGCCCAGACCAACCAAATATTGTGTTGGATTCAGGCATATGACCACCCACGACCGGGCCAGGAATGGGTTTCTAAAGTACCAAAAACATTCTCTCTGTTTTGAGCAGTGCCTGTATCTTTGCTATGTAGTTCCCAAGCACTTGTCCTAGCTTGGTTCTCAATTATCTGCCACACGGATACACTTGCCTCTGTAAAACATTCCTTACAGGGTACCTGTGAATAACATCTACAAACACAATGTGGTGTCTTTAGATGCAAAACTTATCCTGTTCCACTACAATGAACCAGCTTGATTTTTTTTTTTTAGAAGGAGTCAGCTCTGTCCACCCAGGCTTGGAGTGGCAGTGGCATGATCTTGGCTCACTGCAGCTCCGCATCCCAGGTTCACACCATTCTCCTGCCTCAAGCCTCCAAGTAGCTGGACTACAACGCCCACCACCACACCCCGGCTAAATTTTTTGTATGTTAGTGGAGACGGGGTCACCGTTTCGCAGGTTTGGCTTGATCCTTCCTGACTGTGATCCGCTTCTGCCTGGCTTTGCCCAAAATGCTGGGATTACAGGCGTGAGCCACCGCACCCAGCTGATACCAACCTGAATTTTACATATACTTCCTGTGTGCCAAACACTGCGCTAGGTGCAGTATGTATATTCCTTTATTCAACTCTCGTGACAACTCCAATAACAGCATAGGTAGGTGCTATTATTCTATTTCACAGATGAAGAAACTAGTACAGAGATGCTAAATAATGTGCCCAAGTGAGAGTTGGGGTTCAAAACCAGGCATGGGTCTGTCCCCAGAATGCATGCTTTTAACCCCAAACTACTGTACATTGTATACAGATGTTTTTCTGATGAGGCATTGAACTCACTAGGCAAAAAGCACAGACCAGTGAGGTGCTGACATTTTAGGGATGCATAGGAAGGATGAGTAACTGGAGTTGATCAGACCAGGCAGAGCAGTTCTGGATTGGGGAAGTGTTTGGTATGGCAGGAAGCCTTGAGATGGTAACCAGGGGAAAAATGAACAGATCTTCAAAGCTGATGGAGGCCTGGGGGCAGGGGACCCACCTACTCACCAGCCAGGGCCTGCAGGCTGGGGAAGCCATGGTAGGTGACATCATCAAGCTGGATGAGCCGAGGTCCAAAAGCCTGGCATAGCTGCTCCACCATGCCAGTGATGCGGGCGATGTTGTTGTTGGAGGAACAGATAAAAGAGAAAAGGCATTCGATGGGGTCTTGTCGCAGCAGTCGCACACCTGGAGACCAGAAATGCAGGAGGTAGGAGAGGTACCTACTGTTGGGTGTGGCCTCTTCCCACCCACAGGTCAGATCCTAGGTACCAAAACTCCAGGATGATCCCAGGAGAATGAGAGTCAGCATCATTAGAGAAAGCAACAGCAGGCCGGGCGCGGTGGCTCACGCCTGTAATCCCAGCACTTTGAGAGGCCGAGGCGGGCGGATCACGAGGTCAGGAGATCGAGACCATCCTGGCTAACACGGTGAAACCCCGTCTCTACTAAAAATACAAAAAAAATTAGCCAGGCGTGGTGGCAGGCGCCAGCTGCTCGGGAGGCTGAGGCAGGAGAATGGCCTGAACCCGGGAGGCGGAGCTTGCAGTGAGCCGAGATCGCGCCACTGCACTCCAGTCTGGCGAGACTCCGTCTCAAAAAAAAAAAAAAAATATAAAAAAAAAAAAAAAAAAAAAGCAACACCAGACCTCTCATTCCTCATAGCATCTTGTAAGGGCTGAGTTACCATCCCATTCCACAGATAAAGAGACCACAATGTAAGCTCCATGAGGACCGGCATTTGGGTCCGTTTTGTTCATTGGTGTATCCCCAGTTGCACAGCAGATGCTTTGTATATATTTACAGAATGAATGAAATCACTTGCCCTGGGTCACACAACCACGAATGGGCTCAAAATCCTTCTCACTTCACTATGGTTATTAGCAGGATAATAATAATGATAATAATAATTACTATGTGCCTGGCATTATTCTAAGCACTTTACATGTATTAGTTCCTTAAATCCTCATAAAAGCCTATGAAGTAGATATAATCCCCATTTTACAGGTGGTAAAACTGAGTCATAGAGAAGTAACTTATGTCCAAGAACCCTAACCCCAGCCCAGGTCCTGTACTCACCTTGGAATTTCTGAGCCACCTCTTGGAAGTGGGAGTCCACAGAACCCCAGTGGTGATACAGTTGAGCCAGGGTGACATCTAGCTGGAAGTACTTGCGCACGGCCTCCAGCTCGTCTGGTGTGGGCCTGCCAGGCTGGCTCTTGTCTCCTCGGTACACAGTGCAGTGGAGCTGCTCCTCAGTCTGAGTCAGTGTCCATACTTGATCCGCTAGTACACCACTCCAGTGTGCACGACTTTGCTCCCTCCACCTAAGCCCCAGGCACACGACAACCCTGGCACTCAATTTCCTTTCTTGCACCCTTTGGGGTCCCTCCCATCCTACAATCGTTCCATGTACAAAACTGATACAAGTAAAAGTGCTATCTTCCAGTCTGGGCAACATGGTGAAACCTCACCTCTACAAAAAATACAAAAATTTAGCCGGGCATGGCACACACCTGTATTCCCAGCTACTCGGGAGGCTGCGCCCGGGGGTCGAGGCTGGAATGGGCCTCTGCATTCCTACCTGAGCAATAGAGTGAGACACTGTCTCAAAAAAAGAAAAACAAGTACTGTTATCTTCTGCATCGGTTATACCGCTAAATCCTTACAATATCACTGCACAGACATATTAAAGGGAACAGCCTGGCCACCCGTGCTTGTTTCCTCTTTTGTACCCCGGGGTTTCTCACCCCCCAAATTCCTTTGTACCCCATGCCGGGCAGTGCTGAGGCGGCAGGAGCCAGTCCCAGGGGACGGGCTTCCCAGGCGCAGTCACTCACCGGAAGGACTGTCCAGAAGGCAGAACCAGGTCCAGGCGCAGCTCAGAGCGAGGGCACGGGATAGAGGCCCACAGGGCAGGAGCGGAGGCTAGAGTACGATGCCCCATGCGCCTGGGCAGAAGCGCGCGGGCCGGCATTCCCACAGCAGCCCCGCCCACCCAGAACCAGGCCTAGTCGGCGCCCAAAGACCCCGCCCAGACAAGGACCACGCCCCTTAAGGCCTAGCCCACAGGGTCCTGATTAACGACCTTCCTCGTTTCACTTAATTCCTCCACCTCCTGCATGCCTCGCCCTTTGCGGGTCATCAAAGCCCCGCTTCGTGCCCCAATCCTCCGGCTTTCCTGAGGTGTAGGTCCCGCCCCCTTCTTCCGACTTATCCTCTCCCGCCCCCCGAGCCTCTGGGCGCGCACAGCTGTGTTCTTCTGAGTTCTCCAGTGGCCGACCATGCCACCACCGGAAGTAGTGCTCAAGCACTGCGTATTTGACCTAGAGGTAGCCAATCCGAGGAGGAAGTGGGAGGCGCCAATGAGAAATCAGGGTGGGCGGGCCGTTCCGAGGCGCCCGCGCGGTTGGCGCGCACTGGGCTGTCTGCCCGCTGTTGGCCTTTCCCCCACCGGGATTGTCTGCACTCGGGGAGCTAACGAGTTCCATCCGGGCGCCCCGCGGTTCCTCAGGGCTGTCCGTCTTCAGAGCCACGTCCTTTCCCAGCCTGTCCTCCGAGAGCCGTTCTCCCCTGAGCCTCTCCAGTCTTAGGCGTTCGCCCTCCTTGGGCCGCCTCCCACGAACCCTGTCTTCACCAAGAACTGGAGCGAGCACAGCTCAGGCCCTAGAGCCCTCGGGAAGTGTCTCCAGAGTATTCTCTTTTGCGCCTGCCCGCTAAGTTTGTCCCCTTCAAGACCTTTAGGCGTCCTCTGAGACCTCAGGACTTCAGAGGCGTCTCCTCGGATTGTCCCGCCGGCCGCCACAGCTGCTGCCTGCAGTCTTGGGCATTCATTCCTTCCATACTCCATCTGCTCATGCTTTCCTCAGAATAGGGCCTGTGCCGGGGGTTTGTCTGGGGCTGGGCCCAGAAGCCCATCAGGTTGAGTCCAAGTCCCAGTGTGTGGCCCTGAGGCAGCCAGCCTCGTCCAGCCGCCTGGAGCAGGAGGATGGATTATGTAATGTCTTCCCTTCTGGCGAATGATGTGAAAAAGCAGGGAGCTAAGAGATATGAACTTTACTGGGCCATTCTCACCTTCTAGCATAGGGATTTGGGGTTGCTGTATCTTAACTGTCAGGCTGCAGGTTTTTTTTTTTTTTGAGACGGAGCCTCACCCTGTCGCCCGGGCTGGAGTGTGATGGTGCGATCTGGGCTCACTGCAACCTCCGCCTCCCGGGTTCAAGCGATTCTCCTGCTTCAGCCTCCCAAGTTGCTGGGACTACAGGCGTGTACCACCATGCCCAGCTAATTTTTGTATTTTTAGTAGGGGTTTCACATCTTGGCCAGGATGGTCTCGATCTCTTGACCTTGTGATCCAGCCACCTCGGCCTCTTGAAGTGCTGGGATTACAGGCGTGAGCCACTGCACCCTGCCCAGACTGCAAGTTCTTAAAGAGCAACATCTGCAGCGGATTGACCCTTATATCCCAGCCAGAGACCTAGCAGAGTGTACCGTGAGCATGGAATCAACATCAGAACAATGCCATCATTGTCTCAGTGCCACTCCTCAGTGGCTGCAAGGTCTGGGCCGCCCCTTTTTCCTGTGACTGTTCCTATCTGTAGGCATGCCACCCTACAGGCGCCTAGCACTTGGAAGGCATTCCTTCAATAAATGTCGGTGGAGTCTGGAATGAAGGTGCTGAGGTTGGGAGTGAGCAAAGAGCAACCCTCTCCATCCCTGCTCTGTCTCCGGTTAAGCAGTGGGGAAGGTCTCAGCTGCAGTGATGCTGAAACACTTGGGCCATGCCATTGGCAAAGGACTTGAGGCCTCTGAGGGCCAAGAAGGAATCAACAGTTGACTCTTCCCCTGGCAGTTCAGCATACTGGTTGAAGAGCCAGCTTTGCAAACAGACCTGGGTTCCAATTCTAGCTCTGTACCTTCCTAGTTGTAGGAACTAGGAACTGTAGGAACTGTAGGAACTGTAGGCAAGATAATTTTTTGAAACCTCAGCATCTTTGTGGAGATAACCAGCCTATTATTAAACTCCCTATAGTTATTGCAAGGATTACGCAAAGCTGAGTGTCTAAAGGTGCTTAGCACAGGGCCTGCCACTCACTCCATGCATGGGTAACGGGGGCTCTCTCTGCTATGTCTTATAAATGTAGCATGCACAGCAGTCAGCAACCACTTAGGCCCAATTATGTGTCATCCCTGGGGCACAGAACCTCCCTTTGTATCCCCTTTGCCCTGGCAGGGGGGGAAGAACAAAGAATTCTAAAAAGACAGTTTATTTTCTAAGAATCAATATATTTTCTTCCTTTGAAATAAATACAAACCAGTTTGAAAGGTGGGGGAATCTATGGGAAAGAGAAGGGAAATGGGGACAGGCCCCAGTCTTTTTTTTTTTTTTTTTAGTACCAAATGACTCTGGCGCGACCCGGAAACGCAGTTACAAATGAGAATAATTTAAATTCTCCGATAATTACAGTTATTTACAACAGCAGGGGAGGGAGTCACCTAGTGCCCCTCTTCCAGGCTGGAGAGATGCCCGCTCACCTCACCACCGGTAGGGGTCTCAGGCCTCTAGGCAGTTATAGATTCTCCTGGCATGAGCAGGTAGAGGTGGTGGGATGGCCTGTTTTATGCAGTGTCCTAACTTTGGCCCACCACCCCGCCCTACAATGCTGTGAGGTCTCTGGAGCTCTTTCTGACCTGTGGGCCCTCCCTCTCCTTGCACTGAACTGCCACTGGCCCTTGGAGTGTTCTGTACAGTCCAGCTGCACTTAGGGCAGGAGGGACCTCCCCCACCCAGCTTCCCCTGAGACTGGCCCCAAGACCAGAAATGAGTCAGTGCAGAGGCCGGTGCCACTCCAGGACAGTGAGCAAAGGGGAGGAGAGAGGTCACAGGGTTGTGTGACCCTGTGTAGGTTGGGCTGTGTTGAGCAGTATCAATCACTATCGCTGGTCTCACTGCTCTGCTCGCCTTGCACCTTGCTGCGGTGCTGCAGAGCCCTGTGGTAGGCGATCTGTACTGACTTGCGGATGTTGGACTTGCGGCCCTCCAGCATCTTCTCCTTGTCTAGGTCCTGGTTCACACCCAGAGGAACCAGCTTGGTCCTCGGCAGCCACTGCCTATAGGACAAGGTGAAGATCAAATAAATCATCTCAGGGAGACTAAGGACCAGCCTTCCTCCTCCATTCACTTAAGTATACCGCCCAAGCACCCGCTCTGGGCAGACTCTGTGATGGTCCCTGCCCTCAAAGGAGTGCTCATGGTCTAGAGATGAAAGAGCCCAGTCAACGGTTATACCGTGTGGTGGCAGCGGGAGGGTAATCACAGGGTATTTATGGGTACAAAAAGGAGGCGCCCTGACCTCACCAGAAGTAGTTACCCTGAGGCTCTAGGCAGACTTCACTGACACTGAATATCCTCTGCAGACAATTAACAAAAAGACTACATGTGCAAATATGACAGAAGAGGGATTCAGAGCCTGAATGTTTATGCCTGCTTTATCCTCATTTTGTCACCATGGAGGCAGAGGTGGGAAAACTAAGTCTAGAAGCCATCTGAGTCTGGGTGGGAGCCACCTGTACATTTGTCATAGTCTCTGATGGTCCTTTGGTTTCTAGCTACAGCTGTTTGTCCTCTAGTGTCCACTCAGCCTCTCAGACACATGGTCGACACAACCCTTTCGCTCAAAAAACTGTTCTAAGTCCCTCCCCCACTGACTTATGCTAGCCCAGTCTGCCTGTTGCTGGAGTTTCCTGGCAGTCTGCCTCCATACCACACAGGGCTGCATCTGTGGCTGTGAGTCACACCAAATGCTCCCCTCCTTACCAGGTTCGTTTGTTGTCAAAGAAGAGGACGAGGTAGAGATGCTCTCGGGCTTCCTGGGTCATCTGCTCCCCAAGTTTCAGCACCTCCAGTGGGGGCACAGGGATGGGAACTCCATGGTGGAACATACCTTCTCGGGGCATCTTTGGATCAATGATCTGAGGGTGTAATAAGAGCCCAGTTTGGTTCAGTCCACGTCCTCCCAAGGCTTGCCCTCCTCAAGAACTTAAAGAATACGTCTGAAGTGGGGACAGAAAGGTTATCATGCTACCAGAACTGCAATGCTGACCCTCAGCTTCTTTCCACGCTACATTATTTCAGAGCCCAAGGAGCAAAGAGAAGGAAAAGGGAGAGATGGAGAAACTGAGTAGGAGCCTCTAAGTGGTACTCAAGCTGTATCTGCCCACCAGTACACCTTGCCAAGAAACTGTGCCCCATAGCTCAGCAGGGAGTAGGAAAAGTCTGCTATGAATCTGTATTCTGGGATTGGAAAGCAAGGGGCATAAGAACAGAAGCGGAGCATACCAGAGCTGGGTATGATGGATACCCTCGGCATTTGGCCCACACGAGGTCCAGAGCATCCAGCGGGGAGTCCTCATCCTCTGACAGCCAGCCAGCTCCCCGGCCCAGACTCTTCCTTACCACTTCACAGGAATGGGGGAGAGGGGGTGGATCAGCAGCTGGGGGGCTGGCGAGGCCCTGACACTGGGTCCCCAGCATCCCTGGCCTTGGGCAAGGGAACTTACTGCTGTGGCCCACGCCGCGGCCAGTGCCCACGGAGTAGGCCTCATTCTCAGTGCCTGAGGTATCCTCACTGCTGTCCTCTGGGAAAGTGCCCCGAGAGAAGGAAGGTTTGCCCCGGCCTTGTTTTGAGGGTGTTGTGCTGTGGACAAGACAATGGGAGCTCAGCTCAAAGGAGGGGAAGAATGGGGAACAGCATGGTATGTGCCCTCTGCTCTTAAAGCCCTCAGGGTCTGAGACTTTTGGAAAGCAGAGGCTGTATGAGGAATTTCAAATTCAAACACCCACAGGGGCTAGGCTGGTGACCTGAGGTGCGTTAGACTGAGCAGTGGCGGCAGGAGTGCATACTCTAATCATCACCTTAACCCAGGATGGTTCTCTCTGTTCCATTAATGGTAACACTGATTTATTTAACAGAGAACCTTGAGTTTGAGTCATCTTAACCTAGACTGAGATGGCAGCCACCCCACTTCCAACAGGGAAACCTAGAAAGGCCCAAGAGCCCTGGAAGGGCATCCCCTGAGGCTGGCCTTGATCTGGAGGGCTGGTACCTGGTCCGGTCTGAGGCAGCGCTGCTACTGCTACTGCTGCTGGACTCAGAGTCTGAGCTGCTCCGGGGAAGGCTGCAGTCATTACGGTATACCAAGAAACTCTTCTTCACTGGCTGGTTTCCACCGCTGAAGCCATTGGCTGGTAAGTCTTGGTTGAAGGGAAAGGGAGGAGGGAAGGAACCGGTCAGGAAGATGTAGATCAGAGATGACATG